ATGGGAGAAGCATGCTGAAAGTAGACTATAGACCAAACATGATTGCCACTCAATGCCTCTTTTGCAAACCTCAGCACCCAAAAGGAGAGAGAGAAAACAAAAGGGAATGCCCTGCCACAGAGGTGGGATGGGATGGGATGGGGGGGGATGAGGGGGTGGGAGGGTTACTGGGATCATTGGTGGTGGAGAATGGGCACTGATGGAGGGATGGGTACTCGATCATTGTGTAACTGAAACCCAAGCACAAAAATTTGTAAGTTCACAACTGTACCTCATGGTGTTTCACTAATAAAAATTTTTTAAAAAATGAGGTTGTACATCCAATGTATTTGAAAGACAGTGTACAGGGAAAAGAAGAATAAAATTTGACTAGTTATTCTACGAAGGAAACAATAGATGCTAAAAAATTGTACATCTGAGGGACAACGCAATTGTGAACAATAATTATGAATAATAATCAGTAATACAGGGAGAGTGGATATAATAGGGACGATAAATTTAGTTTGGAATTCGCTCCCTTGTGGAACCTATGAATATTCATATTTATGTGTACCCTCAAATATGTAATTGTGCAAAGGGAAATAATGTTGATGAGATTCCCTTGATTTATATATTAATTAACTTGCATTGGGACTGTTAAATGTATGTATATCAGCTGGAAAGACACTAAAGGACACAGGTCTCTAGAACCTTTGTCATCTGGTTTCAAATTCATAACACTTTTAAAGCTTTTGTGTTATGATTCACTAACCCCGTGTTATGATTCACTAACCCAAAAATCCACCAATGGTGGTACACACTTCAGTATATTTTTAATTTGTTTGCTTTTGTGGTGCTAGGGACCAACCCAGGGTCTTCCAGGTATAAAATGTGCATTCTAACCCCACGCCAGGCCCCCAGTTCAACAATGTTTACATAAATATACACCGTATACAACCATTACCCACAATCACTTTAGAAGACTCCACAAAGTTCTCTCATGATAATCGCTCCTGGCTTCTCACAGAGTTGTTATCAGGCAGAGAAAATTTATTTTTCACCTCAGTTTAAAATTCTCTGTATGTAGGATAACAATGGTTGTCCTTTCTCCCTTGCTACAGAGAGCTTAAGTTTTTCAGGTGATACCCATCACAGTGGTCCTGAAGTACCTCCATTCCTCTGTATGTATTGCTATGTAGCTCTAAATATTGATAGGACAACATTGGCATGTGCTGTTTCCCTTGCCACAAGGAACTCAGGTTTATCACAGTGCTCCTGAGGCACTTCCATTCCATTGTGTTTATCTCTAAACTCTTCCCTATGCTCTCCTCCCCAACCAGTTAATCAGCTATCCCCCCTAATCAAACTCTGTTAACTTGTGAGACTCCTCAGAAATCTATGATTTTATGTATATGAGTGAAATATTGTCTTTCTCCTCTCCTTCTGTCTTTTGAATAGTTTACTTTAAAGCAATGTCCTTTTTGTATAGATACAGGAAGACAGATAATATTATGTTTTTGTAAATTGAGATTTAATTGGCTTCAAATATTATTCACTCCCGGGCATCTGCTTTCTTGACTTAAGCCTCAGTTGTCCTTAGTTCCTAGCACCCCAAAATCAGGGTCCCAATGAGGGACTGAGTGGACCCAGAGCAAGCTGTGAGCTACCCTGGCATCAAAATGGGCCAGGCCAAAGTGCCACAATTCTTAACTGTAAGTTAAGAGCTTGATCATGGACAAATGCTGTCATGATCCAAAAGTAATGACGAGACCCGAGACCAGGACCCTGCTAGGGATAGGAAAGACTAAATCTGGCCTGAGCACTGTAGTCTGAGATCGAGATGGCCCCAGGAACGCAATTCTATAAGCTTAATGTATCTCTTACTGTGTCCATAAAAAATGAATTAATAATATAAATGCTTATATGTTTGTTGGACAAGGAGAGGAGAAACACACCCATAGGATTCCACTCTAGGGTGGGTCGACCCGCTAAATGAGAATCTGTGCTAGAAGAGGCTTTCCTGAGGGAAAGAACTTTAATCCTATTGATTGTGACCACACCTACGTGTAAACCCCAGCCCCTTATGGTTTTGGGATTTAACTAGACTTACAGTTTAGGAGGAAGAAGCAGGAAGAGAATTAGAGAAGAATGGAGATGGGAATGGAATAAACTGCAACTGACACCAACCATCCTCACCCTTGTTCCTTCCTTAGCCTGCCTATCACCATCGACCTCCCCGGGGTGGGGGAAACGGTTCGAGACTATGGACCGCGGGTCACTGCTGCTATCTTTTTGTGTTTACACACTGTATATATTTTCTAGCTAACAATGGGTGACAAATGGCTGCATATATCTCTTGAGATGATTACATGAGTTTAGTTCTTTATTGTGTTAATATCATGTATTTTGTTGGCTGATTTTCTTTTTTTCCATAAATCCCACTTAATCAAGTGGCATGACTTAGTCTATACATCGATGGATTCAATTTGCTAAGACTTCAATCAAGATCATTACTCACTGTCTTGATATTTATAAGGCCTATTGACAGTTCCTGTGTTCTTTTTTGTTTTTGTGGTATTGGGTTTTGTTGGTGTTTTATTTTTTTTCTTTTTGGGGGCGGGAGAGGCATGGTTTTTGGTTTGAAGCCATAGATCCTAGCTACATATCTGGGATTTATTCAGATAGTGCTAAAGGGCAGTGAGGCTTCCTGCAACCCCTTTATGGAACTCTCTCTCTGACCCTCTTTTGTGGTTTGGATTTTTATTTTCTTCCAGGGTAATAGTGTCTTTTGGGTGTGCTAGAGAAAAAAAACAATGTTTCCACATCAAAGATTAGTGTTATTCCTTCTTTCAACATTTGATTGAACAGTTATGTGACTTAGCTATGTGTAGAAGAAAAAAAATTGCAATGCTCTTTATTAGCACTGAGAGATGTAAAATTACTTGCAAATTTCTCTCAACACTAATATTTACCTTCCATTTATATTCGGTTGCATGATGGTACAAAACAGTAACAAAAATCAGGCTGAGAACCTTGGTTTGACTGGAATTCTTATCCCCTTCTGCCTGGCACACCTATCAGCTCCCAACTCAAAAATCCTTAACCTCAAGAGCCTCCCTAATCTGATAAAAGACCGTTACATTACGTGGCCTCCTCGCCTATGTGTGCCTCCCAGACTTGCATATTTATCTATTGAGATCAAATTGACATGTGAAATATATTAATTTCAGGTATACGGAGTGTCCCTCAGGTTCAAGCCATCCACATTAGTATGTTTGCTTTCTTCGGATAAAAAGTCAGAGTGGAAGTGTTGAAACATGCAGTCTACTTGAAGAAATGGCCCTAGTCTTTTCCACAGTGGCTGCACTAACTAATATTCCCACAAGAGATCACAAAGTTCCCACTTCTCTCCATCTGTACTGAAAGTAGACACTGGTTATTTCTCATCCTGTTGACAACAGTCATTCTAATAGATGCGAGGTGACATCTCATTGTAGTTTTGATCTGCACTTCCCAGACAATTAGGGATGCTGAGAACCTTCTCATCCGCAAGTAAAATACTACTCTATGACTCGCTATGTTTTCCTCATCTACAGAATAGAACGGGGACAAAACTACTTACGGTCAGGAATCAACAAGTGAACACTATAAATCACCAAGAATACTGCCTGGATCACTTCAAGCACTTTACAAGTGCTATTAAATAAAATTATTTCTGTCCTCAGGATCCCATTCCTATCTTTCCTCCTCCTCTTTCTCTCCACAATTGCAATTCCAATCATTCAACTCAGGCTCTGCTGATATCCGTACTCTAAACTTTTAGAATGTTTTCTTCCAATGATGTAACTATCATACATCTTAATTCACTTTTTAAAATTAGTTTGGGAGCGGGGGGTGGAGCGATAGCACAGCAGGTAGGGCATTTGCCTTGTACGCGGCTGACTGGGTTTTGATTCCCAGCATCCCCGAGCACCCCCAGGAGTAATCCCTGAGTGCAGAGTCAGGAGCAACCCCTGTGCATCACCAGATGTGACCCAAAAAGCAATAATAATAATAATAATAATAATAATAATAAGTAAAAAATAAATTAATAAAATTAATTTGGGGGGTGTCTTCCCAGAGGGACCACCCGAGGTAAATCTGGCAGTGCTCAGGAGAACACGCAGTGCTAAGGACCAAAAGTCTAGGACATCCCAGGTATATGCTCCGACCCTCTGAACATCTCCCTGGGCCCCATCAGCACATTCTGAACACTATTTTTCCTTCTGCTCTTTCTCTATTCTGAGACATCTTGACATTAAGATTACCAAACTGCCTTCTCCCGTCATAACTTCTTCCAAGCTGATGTGCTGCTCTTGCCTTCAAGGGTATTCGCTCTTTACCTCCAGGTCACATCAAAGAGGTGAAGACAGCATTGCAGAGAGAAAGGGTGTCCTTAGGTATGGAGTCAACAAATCAGCTGACCAAGAAAATCTTATCATAGCCTCACTTCAGAAAGAGAGGGAACAAAAGAAGGATGGTACTCAGAATCCCTCTCTCTTCCATAATATTAGTAAATTTCTGATCCTTTAGAATCAAAACCTAAGTCCTGACTCTACTCAGGCTTGTCCTAAGTCCTGACTCTACTCAGGCTTGTTTCCAAATTACCTGCCACCATTTTATTCCACTGAGGTGGTGGTGGTGCTGCGCGTGTGTGGTGGGGGGGTGGAGGGAGGGGAGTCCCAAGTTCTGGGCTTCTGGGACCAGGGGCCCAACCAAGCTGGTGTTTCAGTGCCTACAATCTGCTGCCGGAGTCCAGAGTTACTGGGGTGGGGGGGCACTAAAACCATACTGTGTATGGAGTTCTCAAGGGTCACATTCGGGGATGCTCAGGAGGGCAAGTGGTCCACAGGATAGCCAGAACGCAGGTTGGCTGCATGCAAGGCAACAGTCCTGTCCGCCGGACCATTTCCCTGAACCAGACCACAAATTTTATACCCCACATCTCATATTCATTTCCTCTCCTAAATATTTTAAGTTCACATCAGATGGGTAATGTGCCAAATGTGTAACAAGTTTTAAGGGAGGCATATGCCATACAAATGTGTGAACCCCCAATCATCATGCTTATGAACCAGAAAAGGATCCTACGTATTTTTAATCCTACACTCTTCGGGCTAGACTTAATCCTCATCTTCTTTCACAGAGATCACTGCGACAGTCTCCCAGCTGGTGAGCCTAAACTACACTTCCCATGATAACTCCCCCTACAGCCAGGTGCCAGACTCAGACCATTAATGCAGAGTTCAGTATCACCCTCTCTGTTCAAACCCCTCAATGTCTACTTCCTTCTGTACAAGGAAGCTTTGCCTCTACATTGTCCTAGGGCAACTTCCAATGCCCCAATTAATCTCTGCAGCCTCAGCTCAATCAACTGTTCAACAAGATTCTCTCCTGTTCCCTATTTTAAGTCCCCAAGTTTATGTGATGTCTGACCTTATCCCTTTGTTTTCTTCCCATTTCTAACAAGCTATCCCATCAGCTAACCATGTGAGAATGAAACCTAAAAGGTATATTTAGGAGCAACCTGATGGATGGACACAATATGCCATTTCTTTAGACGTCACTGATCCACTATCACCTGCCAGGATGCGATGTCAGAGCCATGGATAAGGAGGGAGATGGAGCAAAAGGGAGGCGTTAACATGTCTGAACTGTTATCTTCTTGTGGAGGTGGTACGCGTGTCTCCTTCTAAAGCCCTTTCAGGGTGGTCTTTTGTCACTTACCTGTAGTTTCATGGGAACTATGAGCTGTCTTTGTTTTCACAGTCGACAGAAATGTGCAGTGTATGCTGGTGTTAAGACAGACCTTTCTTTACCTCTTTTCTATCTAGAGATCAATATCCCTCCAGTGGACTGACACCCAAATTAAGACTGTCAGACAACTGGAGAGTCTATCTCCCAGAGTCCGGCTCTTTTTCTGGTTTTCACATCCTTATCGTACTCATTTTAGATCAACAACATTCATGAATAATTCATCTTATTGGGATAAAGAACACATACATGAAAACTGTCAAAAGAAAACCTTCTGATTAATCTAGGTCCTGTTTATCATTACATGCCTATGCGTCTGTTTGGGTACACACACACACACACACACACACACACACACGCACACACACAGACACTCCAAAAAAAATATGAGTGAGCATACTATATAAAAAGTCATGTTCCCTGTCTTCTGAGTGGTTACCCTGCATCTTAATTCCTAACTATGACGCCTGTCTCTCATTAAAACCCACACAGTAATTTGTATCTCTCAGGGATTTTCATCATGTAGTTATCTGCCTTCTCTCCTGCCTCTCAGTACAGGCCATGCCTTTCTTTGAATTCTGTTAATATCCAGTCCAGTGTCTTGAACAAAGAGTCAGTGCCCCCTAGTAGATTACCTAAATTGAAAGTAAGACGTTCTAAAGGGCAGCTGTTTATTGATATTTTACATTCACAGATGAACTCCTTGGAGGAGAACTACAACACCCATGGTGAAACTTCAGGCTTTTTTGAGTCCATTAATTTACTCACATCACAGGAGTACCATTTATTAAATTTCTGCTCCAATGAGATAAGTGCTACCCTAATGACCTGAAAGAGTTAATGCATCTTGGAAAAGACCCAAATTGCTCTCTGGAGACAGTTTATTCAATTAAGTGGCTATGACCCAGAATTTTCAATTAGTTCACTTACTAAAGACTCCTTTATATTGGTTATCTGTAATCTGCGAACACCGGCCCACCTATGAAAAACCAAGTGGGCTTAAGAGTATGCAAAATGGAATTTCAGGAATAACAAACAAATTCAGCTTCAAGTCACATGATTTTTTTTTCCACCTACTGAGCTACAGGAACAATTTTAAGTATACTCCCAGCAGGAATTGAGAGTAAGATTATAAAGGTTAAAGATAACAGACGTATTGAGAATAAAAACAAAGCACAAAGGTACAGACAGACAGAGTAGTTCCTTCCTTAAGGAATTTATTTATAAAGAAGAGCTCAACTGAGTCCATCAAAGGCTTTTCAGAAGCTGGTTTCAGGGTATCTAAATCACATCCTACACTCTTGTGTAAGAATACGCATACGGAAAATTCATTAAGGCATACATTGTTGTGAATCCCTGCATTTTATCCCCTATCAAGAGCACCTTATCACAATTCCACATGCCTAAATTTTAACCTTTCTCCAAGAACCAATTCAGTTCCCACACCTAAAGAAAACCTCTAATTGATCGATCCAACTAAAGTCATCCTTTAAATTCCTATAGGATTTTCATATGATTACCTGGACTTATCGCTAATTATACCCAGCTGTAGAGTTCACCTCTCTGGCATTTATCTCAAACTCCAACATGGCTGGATAAAAAAAGCATTTAATCTAATACTTCCCTGTAATACCACAAATTCATGTTATATCCAAATACCTCAACAAAAATACTTTATCACTGAGGGAGAAACTACTGTCACTCATTCTAGACTTGTTCACGTCTGCGTCCATAGGACTTTATAAATTAGGTAAATTCTTCTATCCAGAGCTCGGTTCATAATATGTATATTCCTAGAGTAAGATATAAAAACTGGTTAAAAACACTTGTTGACAGATTGTTTTGTTCTTAAAAAAAAATAGAGCAAGCTTATTTTATCAGTTTTGTCAGAAAAGAATTTCAAAATATACAATAGTTCTATAATTACTATATGCTATTTCTACTAAAATATTACATATTAATTCAAAACAAGGAAATCATGGGGTCGTAGAGATAGTACAAAGGGTAAAGGCACTTCCCTGGCCAGTGGCAGACCCAGGCTGCACCCCACAGCGTCCCATATAGTCCCCAAGCACCACCAGCAGTAATTCTTGAGCATCAAAAGCTGAGTCCCCCACACCTCCACCCAAAATCCAAGGAATTCATTTATTCATTTATCTTCCACACTTGAAGTCAGTCTATAATTTAAAAGACTAACCAAATGAACACCATTGCTGGGATATAAGAAAATGTACATTAAATACAAAAACTCCAGAAACTGGAATAGTTCACTGATTCATTTTTGGCATCAAATTTAACTATTTTAGATCAATTTTCCAAGTTAAATTTTCCCCAAGTACCTATTTGTTTTATATTTATGTTTTATGTAAAAGCAATATACGTTTAAAAAATTTCCAACCAGCATGTGCAAGATTCAAGCATTCTTTGATAGTGCTATTCTAGACCATGGATGTGCTTTTGCTGATACTTCATTTTATTATCTTTGTAAACGCCTTAAAAACTAATAAACAGATGGTCCTGCACTAAGAGAGCACCTCAAAAATTCATCAAATTCACTTGTCAGAAAACCCAACTCTATCACCACGTAACAGAACCACCCCCCCCCCCACCCCAAGTGGCAGCATGTGGTCCCGTTGGATCCTCTAGACTGTGAAGCACCCGTTTCCCATCATCACCTCATATCTCACTGTGCAAGTCATGCTGTAGTTGCCTGCTCCAATACATGTAACTGCTCCCTTCTGGCCCCCACTGACCTATGGTCCAAAGGGTTGAAGGGAAAAAAATAGCTCATGCTTGAATCATTTTTTTCCCCCAACTCTACATGTTTGAGCTGTCATTTTCAAAAGGATAACCACGACCAGGAGGAGCCACGCAGTGTGATCTTTCTCCTGACTCCACTGCATGTGAGAATAAACATCTGAAAACATGACTTCAGAAAGCCAGTGGGAGGGGGAGAAGGAACTTAACTTCTGTTAGTTATGGTAACTGCCTCGGCCTCCAACTAATTACTTGGGTCCCTATTCTAACCATTCCATAACAAGCTCATACTACCCTACCGGCAAGTCACGAGAAGAAAAGGATCACCTGGCTATTTAAATACCAGTCGTGTTAAAGTAGACGTGATACAGTACAATGCATGTAGCTCGTGTTCCTGGCTAATTGCTTACGACACCCTGCTCTGGAGAAGACAGCCACAGTCACCAGGCCTGAGACATCTCTAAATGCCAGCTCTTAATAACAAACTCCAAAAAAGAGGTCTTAATTGCATTTGCCAGGAGCTCATGAACTTTAAAAGTTGTTAATCAGATTTCCATGTAAATGGAATGACAATTAAAGGTTAAGTACAGGTTTCGGAAATTTCCGAAGTTGAGAATATATTGCCCTTCGCCGGCGTGAAGCCGGGGGAGGGTCGGCCGAGAAGCCCCAACTATCAGCCTTGACAGGAACTAAACATCTTAATTAAACATGCAGAAGTAGTACCACGCTGATTTTTTTTACGGGAAGTTCTAGTTTCAAATGTCAAAGTTAATCATGCACTTAACTGAAAATGTGCCATGCTTCCCCCTGCCAGAGGAGCCTGCCTCAGTGCTCTTATCGGTGACTGCATCTGTGAGAGGTCCCCCCCACCCAGGTTTGCCCCATGCACCTCTCAGCCCTCAGCGGCACCTCCCAGACCAGGAAGCGGGAGAAGCCTCCAGAAAGGCCCCACCAGAGATCATAACCACGGCCCGTCGGAGGAGGCACATGTTTTCAATCAGGTCTCCTTCAAATTTATGTGGCTCCCGAGAAACCAGAGGGGCTCCCTCCATCAATTCGCTGCACCTGTGTCCCTGGAGTGACATGTTGACAAATGAACATGACATCTCCTCAAACTCCAATAAGAATTTATGATTCTTCGAAAGAATATATTTGATCAATTACACTGTCACCGCCGCTGAAAGCAAAGCCCTGTCTTTGGCGCGCACGTCACAAACGCTGCCAGCGCTCTCGTATCCCGAGCAAGGATAAATGACAGATCCCGAATCCCGGCGTCAGATCCCCCTTCCCGCTCAAACGCTCAGAACAGATTCCCCCAGTTTAAAAGCAGTGAGGTCCATAAAGCACTGAGTAAAAAAGTGACTGACGGGGGCCAGAGAGAGAGTACAGGGGGGAAAGGCACTTGCCATGCAAGCAGTCAACCCAGGTTCAATCCTCAGTGGCCCACTGTGGCCCACCAAGCTCCACCAGAAGTGAGCGCAGAGCCAGGAGTAAGTCCTGAGAATTGACGGGTGTGGCCCAATCCCCGCCCCAAACTTCATCATCCCAACCCACCCCACAACACACACACACACA